TTGGTATTTTAGACCCAAATGTGGTAAAAATTGCCAAATGGAATCTAGGCTGCCATAACAGTGAATTTTAGTAAATTGGGAAGGGTAAAAAAACAACAACAACCATTTAAGAAGATGAGAAACAACTGGTCTTCTAGTTATTGCAAATCTTCATTCCCAACCTGAGAAACTGTAGAAAGTTCCTTCCCAACCAACTCTTGCAAAAATTGAGTGAAATGACCCATACCTCTTTCAGTTCCATCAGTTGGGTGGAGAACTTTGCTGAACCTACTGTATTCTTTCATTTCCTAATCAAAATGAAGGCATTGTTTAAAAATAATTGCACTTTATCAACCATTTTCTTGATAAGGTAACAAAAATTGCAGCCATTGACATTTTTTCAGGATCCTTCTCCTCCTCTAGATTTGGCATGGATGTCTTGTGAGAAAATATTTGAAGCTGGACCAACAGTAATATAGCTCTAAACCCAGCCTGGTTTTTGCATAGTCCTCTAATGCCCAGCAGTTCATATCTTCCATTATGTATAATAGGAGGCAAAACTGAATTCACACTGAGATCCAGAGTACCCCAATTTACTATACTGAATGCTACAAGCATGTGTTCATACTGTGAAAATTCTTCCATGTTTCTTCCACCTCCACGTTCACTGCAGGTGCCACTCTACAATCAAACAGTGGATGCTTTCAATCAATTGTAAGACTTCAGAGAAATTGGAAATGATATCAAAGCCTTCCATTAGTCTTCTGTTTGACATAGAGTAGACAGAAAACTCAATGAATGCCTTGGCGCACTGTAGCACATGACACCAGGGGCTTGTATGAGGCACTTAGCAAGCTGGTTTATCCAAGTAACATTCCCATTAACGTATTTAAAATTGCTGTCCTAGAATCAGCAAACACACATTGCAGATCTAAGGAATAGCTATACAGAACTTTGCAGAACTTTACAGATAATGCTAACTAGCTAAATATATACAAAACACAAAATAGACCCAGATCATACTTTAATCTCAGGTTGACTTCACAACATTCACCTTCTTAATCATTCTCAATTTAGATGTCAAAAGACTTTAAATTTAGTTAGGTACAATAAGCAAAGTAAGTGTGTCAGCCTTACCACTGTGTAGACCAGGTAGGAAACATGACTAGATAAACTAATTCTACTTTATTGTAAACCTAAATTAATGGAATCTTGCAAGTCTGAAAATACTTCTCTTCTCTCTCTCCTTTACAGTTCCGGAAACTAGTGAGGGTTTCTCTTCTCTTGCCCTACCCACTATCCAGTTGCAGGCTATGTTGTCTCTTATCTGACTGTTCCCTAGGCATCATTTCTTCACCCCACCACCCATCTCCCAGGGTCTTTCCCACATACTTTTACAGGGTTTTCATATTACAGCATTTCTATTTTTATTTATTTTATTTATTATGACATTTATTTGCTGCTGAAATTTCTATCCTGCCATTTTCAAATGATTCTAGACTGTTTACAATCAAGGAAGCATGCTTTAATAAGCACCCTGAAGCCATGTACGTGTCATTTCATAAAATTAAGTTACTATGGGGAAAAAAAGTTGACTCTGGGTGTGTACAATAAGTATGTTACAATGGATGGGACTTTCACATCTATAATTAAATTTTGGTTTTGGAATTTACAGAGAACCAATGTGTTTCTTCACAATTTTGCTTCTGAAGTTTAGTCATGCAAGCTTACAATAAGTTTCCAGTTCACCTTCGTTTTCACAGAGTATGTCAAGGAAACAGAAGTTTAATGGTTTTAATAACTTTTCCTCCTTTTCCAAGGTGGAGGGGGATGTTTCCTAAAAATTTCAGTTACATCAGAAGTTAAGGTCATTTGGCCAAATATCCAGCACTTTTATCCACCTTCAGGTCTAATATTTTTAACAGCAAAGCTACGGCAATTAAAGTTTATGGGAAGGTGTCTACAGTACAGATAAGCCCAAGGAATTCTCTACCATGGCATTATATTTCAGCCTAATATAGTTTTTCATAGATTGGCTGGGGGCCACAGTGGCTCATGTGGTAAGATGTTGAGCCTGCACTCCACTGAGGCCAGCAGCTCAGTGGCTCGATTCCCATGAGCGAATGAACCATGTAGGGACAGGAAAGGAACCTCCCCCTACTGGCATTCAGGCTTCCCATGGGTAAGATAACACCACCCAAAAAAAATTCCTTTCAAAGAGGCAGCCAGCCATTTCAGTGATCCCTGGCTAACAGCTGGCTAGTGCCATACTCTAAAAAATAAATTTAAAAAATAAATTGGCTTTTGGTTGATGGACGTACCAGAATTTTAAAGATTTTGAATGAAATGAACCCATCGATTGGAAACACAGAGACCTGCAGACATAGAAATCTAGTTAATGTTTTGGGTGAAAGGACAGAAAAATAGCGTGGCTCGCTGACTTCTTAAAAAGCCTAAATTGACCCCATACCTGAGGAGCACTGCAGTGCTGTGATGAGATAGTTTAACACTTGTGGTACTTTGAAAGATTACATTTATAATCCAGGATTGGAAAAGTGGCTGTTATTTGATAAATCCTCTCCCTCATATCTATCTTCAATATATCTTGTGAATTTTTTGTTGCAAAGATCCTCGTCCTACTGGACCTTCCTACAGATTAAGTGAGGTGACATGGGAGCACAGCTTTTGTTGGGAGCTGCTTTAATAAAATGTTCAACATCAGTCTTGTGCCTTAATCCCTGTAGCTGGAAATAACATATCCTTAATGGATTGGATGAAGTGGGATAGAAGAAGTCAAGTGTCATCAATTTTTTCCATCTTAACATTTGGGGAAGGCATGCTAGTTTTTAATCTTCAATGTCCAATTCAAGATGCTGGTTCTGACCACGAAAGAAATCAATGGCAGAAGGATGATAAGAAAATCTTGTATCGGCCCACAGCTTTACTCTTTCAAGACATCATCTCCTCCTTTGGCCTTTATCTAGAAAGCCCAGAAAAATCTCAGTCCCAGTTCCACACAAAAAGGTACACATCCTGAGATCCTGAGACCTTAAAAAAATCTCAAAAGTCTTGCAACATCTTTAATTTAACTACAGCATTTAATGTAACAAAAAGAGGAAATTATTTAATGTACGACTGGAATAATATTATTTTATTAAGCCTATCTTTAATTATATGTCAGATTTAATTTTTCTCCTTGCTTTGCCCACCTTTGGCTTAGTGACTTTGGCTCCTAGTACGCCATTAAAGGGAAAGAAGCAGAAGGTGGCAATAGACTCCTGGAACAAATAGGTTTTTCTTAAACTGAGAAATAAATCCCACATTTGCTATTACAGATCAGTTCAGTTCCTAAGAACATCTGATGGGCTTTCAGGTAGGCCTTCTCAATGGTGACGTCTTCAAATTATAGAAAGCTGTCCCTTCTGAAAGCACCTGTTAACATTCCTTCATCCCTTTCCCGTATAAATTTTGCATATATGGGTTTGGTTGTTGTTTTTTACAGTAGTCTCTTTTTTACCCCTTTCTCTTTTAAAAATGAATATAAATGCATTTTACAATATACTGTATTATATTTCTTAATGTATTTTTGAATTGTTGGAATTTTAAGTGATTTTTGAGAAGAAGAAGAATGGGAAAACAGTATACAAGTCTTTAAAAATTCAACAAAATAAATAATTGTGACCCAGAGCAGCCACAAAATTACAGATTTCTGACAGAAGTGTTTTTTCCAATTTTTCTTAACTAAGAAGGTTAGTTTGGCTAAATTCCTATGCCCTATGCCCTCCTATTGTTAAGACTAAGCCTCACTGTGCTAATCAAGGTTTACCTCTGAGTAGAGAGGGATAGGATTGCATTGTGAAAAAAGTCCAAATTATAAAAACCCATATGTATCTGATAAAAGCAGATGTGAATTATATTTAATAGTAGTAGCTTCTTTGCGTAACCCCCAGGTAGAAGTGTATAAAATTTCTCAAGATAATTAGATATTTCAAACATACTTTTTTAATCATATCAACTTAATATCAACAAATTTAAATGGCACAAAGGTGTTTACAAGGCAGTTTAATAGCTTAAGGCAGCTGATGCTGATGTAATTTTAGGAGTTACTAAAAAAGAAATCTGCATGAAAAGATTTTTTTTCCTCATTAGTTAAAACTTCAATCTCAGCAAGCCATCTGAATTTCCAAAGACCCTATTTTTGACTCCAGGAGTTCTTTCTAAATACCTGATTAAGAGTGACAGCAAAGTTTCCTCATCATTTTAAGGTGAGAAAAAAATTAAAATGATTATAAGCCCTAATCTATATCTATATCTATATCTATATCTATATCTATATCTATATCTATATCTATATCTATATCTATATCTATCTATATCTATCTATCTATCTATCTATCTATCTATCTATCTATATATTCCTTTTTCGTAGGCTTTTATGTGCATATTCTTTCTAAGAAGTTTACGTAGGTAAAGTTTACGTAGGTAATTTAGTCTCCACTGTGGTAGCTCCCAACAATTCTCTTTTCTACCTCAGAAACAACTAACAATTATTATGCTAAAATACTTATAGAAACTGGATCTCATGGTCTTGCAACCACTCCCTCCCCCTCCCCCAGTTACCTCACTATTATATTGCTACCATTAGTTATTTCAGAACAAGGAGAACCTATCTGAAAGATTGCAGAAACCCCCAAAGTTTGCAAAAGCCCTAAATGTGAGCCACTCTGGTGTAATGGCTAAGGCACTAGGCTAGAACCAGGGGACTGTGAGTTCTAGTCCTGCCTTAGGTATGAAAGCCAGCTGTGTGACTTCAGGCTAGCAATTCTCTCAGTCCAATCCACCTCACAGGGCTGCTGTTGTGGGAAATAGAAGGAAAGAGCATTAAGTATGTGTGCCACCATGACTTAACTAAAAATAAAGGCAGGATAAAAGATAAAACCAAACCAAATAAATAAAAGAGGGAAGCCCCCCAAAAGTCATATGATAACTGAGGATGTCATGTTGACTTGTGAATATTGTGAATACCCAATAGAACATTGTGAAGACAAATGGAGTGGATTGAACAAGCTGTGCCTTTGTGTGGATCTTATTTCTCTAGTCAAATTATATTGGTGATATTAGACAGCAAACAACTCTTTCAAGATCACAGCCAGTAGATTTGTATACTATATCAGAAGGAAAGCACTTGGAGTTTTTATCTATGGTCCAAAAAGTATAGAACTCGCAAGATTATGTCAAAAATCTAAATCATACTTCCCTGTGAAAGGAATAGGTCAAATTTTATTCTACTATTTTAAACTACCAATTTGCCCCAAAACAAATAAACTGAAATGGAGAATGGAACTTGACTAATTCCAGAATGCCATTTCCCCTGTCTTATCTCTTCCTGTTACAGACATCATTCATTAGATTACGAAGACTATTAATGTCATGCAGCAGAACTAAATGAATTCACTAAGAGACCTCTATTAGCATACCAAGTACCTCTCTTCAGCTAAATATTCCTGACAGCTCTCATTACAAATGATGGATAACATTTATAAAAGACAGTCATTCCAGAGGAAAATAAAGATCTGCATTGTATATTCTGATTGAAGATATCATTTCTGCAGTTTATTTTTTTCTTTTTCTTTCTTTTTAATATTTCTTGGGAGGAAAGGGATCTGTAAAAAGACACAAATTAGGTTAATTGCTCATGCCAAAATGTATTAAGGATGTAAAAGACTAATTGAAAGTCGATCCTGACTTTTGCAGGTGTTTTATTTCTGAAATTGTAAAGTCTGAAATATTCCAGATGTGTTCCAAACCAAATGCTATGAGACAAGGACATGGGACATTCTACATACCATAAATTCAAATGTGGAGCCAAGAACAGTCAGCTATATTATAATATTCTGAAAAAAATGTTTTTAAATCCACTTCACACGTTACAGTTTTGAAATATTTTATCTTAAAAATTTAACCTGTGAAACGCAACAAACTGTTTGGAAGCAGATGTACTGCAGCTATGCCAATTCATAAAAGACTCTATTTTTATTTGAAAATCCAAATCAGATTTTAAATTTAAGCTATGAGAAAAAAAGTATAAATTTTAAAGTGAATTGTCCATTCACACACCTGCTGAATGAATAGGCAGGTTGGCCATCTGATCACAGTATTCTTCACCATTATTGTGAGGCTCTCATTTCCCTCCAAATTTAGTAATTGTTTTTATAGCATCTTTATAAAATTAATACTTGCCCTTATTAAGCTAAGCCCAATCAAAGTGTTCCAGTTTTAAAGACTAACTAAATCCTAATTTTCCAGAAATTCAGAAACTACTGTTCATTATTTACATAACGGCTTGAAATTCTGTGTTAAATTTGAGGGTTCTTTTTTCAGAATAATAAAAATATAATACATACACTTTACTTTTCTTGATATAGCCTTTAACCTGCTTTTTCCTAGTAAAAAAAGCCACACCCCAGATGATTCTTGTTTCCCTTCTTTTTAGTTTCTTCACTATTGTATAAGTTTCTCTTAAGTATTATAGTGAGGAGGTACAGCTAAGATCAGTAATTGTTTTTTGTCATGATCCCATTAACACCTTTATTCTGGTTACCTAAACTCCCAGCACACCGCCCAAAGACCAAAGTGGCTTTTGGTCTGAAAGTTGCATATCTTATTCCAAATTATACCTAATCTTCTAATCTTCTTTAACCAAGGTACTTAGGTAGATTCTTCCCATACCAAATCACACCAATTTAACTGAATACTAAGCTGATTAACAGACCCAAAGTATAAAGAAATGCAATCATCTAACTCAATACCAAAATATAATCTCTGATTTCAAATACATGCTCTCTCATTAACGCAACGAGAACACCTTTGGCATCTACAGAGCAGTGAAGTAGGTACAGCTTAAAATCATACATCCTTCATCTTGTCTTCTAGCAGAAAAGGTATGGACTTCAGAGTACACCATTTGCTAATTTTATACAAACTCGTTTTAAAAAGAGCCAGTTTGGTGTAGTGGTAAAGGCATCTTGGAGAGCATGAGTTCTAGTCCTATACTAGGCACAAAACCACCTGTGTGACCTTGGTCCAGTCTCTTCTCTCAGCCCTAGGAAGGAAGCTGGGGCAAACCACTTCCAAAAATCCTTGCTAAGAAAATTCCAGAGACCAGACCAGGCAGTGGGCTAGTCACCCAAAGGTGCTAACCACATGCATTAAACAAAACATCTCCAATTCCCCAAAGAATAAGATACTTTGAAAATGCCATTTTCCCAAGGAACTAGAAGACTGTGGAACAATAGGTAGAATTGGGTACATATTTGTGCTGAAGGCACATATTTCTATGCATGCCAAGATGGTCTGAGATATGGATGTTTATTTTTATATTCAGTGAACTATTAAGGGCCAGATAAAAATGTATAGAAATGCCTACTCCAGTTGAGTCATAAAAAGGAAACTGACCCTTGTTCTTGGATTGATTTTATTGGCATTTCCAAGATTTAATCCGACTCGAGTATAACTTATCAGCATTAAATCTGGAAACTATTTCTCATCTTTACTGTGTTTTCAGCTAAATGCAGATAGACAAGGACTTGTGTTGCTGCACATGGAGTCACTTGCTTCTATGACTTGAACTGAACATACAGAGCATATTACATGCATATTACACATTAAGTCAAGATCCAAGCATGGAAAAATGGTGCACATTTTACTGGGGTCTGGAGACCCAGTAGGCAGCCTCCAGTTAGGCAGCCATTGTATTGCCATATTACCATTACATTTAAAAATGTGGGTAAACTATGGAAGATTCTTGAACATGGTTAAGAAGGAATTCCGCTCCCCCTCCCCCCCATATCAATGAACTTTTTATTTAGGTCTTTTAAGGTGTGAGGTAATAGATGTTCTAAACCAAGTTACAACAGAACAATTAACATTAAGAGTTGCATACCTGAGACCTTTTTAACTGAATGCATTTTTCTCTCTAAACTAGGATTTATAGTTCAAAAGTCAGAGAAATTTCAGTTTCTCCATGGGAGAAACTTATGAACTTTTCTTCATATGAACTACCAGTCCCAGAGATCCATGTGCATAAATGTGATAGAGGAGGCAAAGCACCATAATAATCAACTTTAAAGGGGTTATCCAAGTTATTTGGTTGCAGTTAAAATACCCTGCAACATTTTTAAGGCTAATGTAGGAATGGGTATGTCAATCTAATAAAAAGAAGGATTAGGTGTGACATGATAGCAGTCTTTCAAAATCTGAGGGGCTGTCACAGAGAAGAGGGGTTCAACCTATTCTCCAAAGCATCTGAAGGCAGGACAAGAAGTAACAGATGGAAACTTATCAAAGAAAGCTCCATCCTAGAAATAAGGAGAAATTTCCTGACAGTCAGTACAATTAATCAGTGCAACAGCTTGCATCCAGACATTGTTGGTGCTCTACCATTGGTGGTTTTTAAGAAGAGATTGGACAGCCATTTGTCCAGAAATGGATCTCCTGCTTAAGCCAGGTAATCTATAATTTGCTGATTTATCACAAATTTGATAGGTTCAAACATGAAATCTGATGTCTATAGTCACAATATTCCAGAGATCTAAAACATTTTCATACTCAATATATTCTCATGTGCACTGCTTTTCAGACACAACCCATTATTTGAGGAAAAAATGCAGTGCCTATTCCTCTATGCTTTCTGGAGACAAATGGTTTGATCTGTTTGTTCACCTACCTGGTCCTGTAAATTCTATCAGTGGCATCTGACTGTTCCGCAATGCCCAAAGACACTTCTTGTTACAAGTCTTCTCTTTCCAATCGATTGTCACACCCTAGTGGTTTTCCATCCTGTAAGAACAGGAACTAATCAGTTCTAGGACTTATAGTTTGTGGGTGAACAGCTAATAGCAGGGCAGCACACAACTCTTAAATTAGTCAGTATTGACTTCTGTCTCTGGGTTCACAACTTCTACCTTATATGGTACTGAGGGAGAAACAAATTGTGGACATTGCCAGACTGTGCAGGCCAGGCCAGTATGCTTTTCACTGCTGACATAGCTAGCTACTCCACCTATCCACTGTCCGCAAGTTTAAAACTTGAAAAAAGGAAATATAGTTTGGTCTTGGTTATTGCAGGACACAAAACTCCTATGAATGAAGTGATGACTCTGGCCGAGCCAAGTCCTCTGTAGGTAGAACTGTACATATGCAAAACACTTTTCCTTGCATTTCCCAAGCATGCATAGAGTGCAGGCCCCAAGCCCCTTCAGATATAGACAATTTCTTCTCACTGACTGAATAGTTTTGCAGGAGATGATATAATCCATAAGGAATAAACCAATTCAGATGAATCCTGGGTCTCTATGAAGCTAAGGAGTTCCAACTCACCTCTGCACCAAGCCTTAATCATTCTGTCTTTAAAGGCAGAATAAACCTCTTATTGATTACCTTGACGATAAGAGTACAACATGTTTTCCCACTGCTGCAGGAGCAGCGGCAACAAAACCAAGAACCCAGTGAAATGAGGCACTTATCAAGGATAAGGATAGGGTCTGTATCAAGGATATGGTCAAAGCCCAGAACAACATAATGTATTTGCAGAGTTTCATCCCTCTGAGTGCCTTATCTCCCCCTTCACCTTCTAAATCCTAAATTCAAATAATTTGGCTTGCCTGCCCTCATAACAAAATTGAAGTCTGATCCTGTGGAAAAGTAAACTACATATGTTTCTGTGAGATTTAAATCAAATTAAGTAAGTTTTAGATATTGTAGTCTCCAGAGTCAAAATGGACCTCAAATTCTACCCCACCGTACTGTGGTAGGAGATTATTTCCAAGCATTTGTCCCCCAGCCAACATTTTTTCTCCCGGCATTATTCCAGGTCAGGGAGAATTTATAACTAGCTAGTTTTTCCCTGTAATTTCTTCAGGGACTGCCATTTTATGCTACACTCCTAATATATGTACTTACTGTATATAGGAGTAAGCCATACTGAGTTCATAGTAAAGGGTGAAATGCTACCGGTTTGGACCGGTTCTTCTGAACTGGTAAAAAAAAATGCTAGCAGTTCTGGCAAACAGGTATTTCCGATGATCAGCTGGGTGACGATCAGCTATGACGTGCAATTTATATTAGCTAGAATCATTGGGTCTCCTGCTTTCTAGCCAATCTAAATAACATGCCACAGTGAATTCCCCACCCACTCCCTGTTCTACTTACCTTTGCAGTCTCAGAAGGCTTCAAAGTGTTACTTTTTTAATGCTGCGTGGGTGCACCTCAGGCATGTATGCGCGCAAACCGTGCACTCAGTAGCAGACTCACAGAACTGGTAGCAGACTTCAGAAGATTTCGTAGGGCTTATTTTTCGATAAACAGTAGACAGGGATAGGAATGTACAATTATTCTGTTCAGTTAAAAAAAAACTATATGAAGACTCATACTTTTATTATAGACAATTCTTTAACTTCAAGTAGTTGACTATAAAGGTCTGTGAGGCTCTTCTTTATTCATTAGTACTATATAGTACTAATTCAGGAAGAATTTAATTATTGCAATTTATTTGATTTAATATAATTACCCACTCCAGAAGACTGTGGCCATCTTACAAAATCCATAAAAAGTAAACAATAAAACCCACAACACAGGCAGGTCAGACTAGCCTGGCTAGGTGGCTCAGTGGCTAAGACACTGAGCTTGTCGACCAGAAAGTTCGGTGGTTCGAATCTCTAATATAGGTCTCCTGGGTGAGTAGAGGGTTGGACTAGATGACCTCCAAGGTCCCTTCCAACTCTGTTCTTCCAACTAAAGCAACTAGAACAATAATTCGACAAGGGCTCAACCAATAAGTCACATCCACATTAATCCACTGGAGGCCATCGCAGTTGGGCAGATCTAATCAATTAAAATAATAAATAAACCACAGGCTGAGAAACAGAATCAGGTCTTAAGGCTTTCCAGAATCCCAGGACAATGGGCACCATCCAAATTTCTGAGGGGATGCTGTTTCAGAGGGTGTGGGCAACAACAGGAAAGGCAAAGATTTTTTTTTTAAGAAGAAGAAGAAAGAAAGAAAGCTATCAAAAACGTTTCCTAATACCACTAACCACTTAAAATCAAAATCCCCAGTTACAAATTGCGATCACTCAAAATCTAGACCTGAGCTAACATGTTTATATTAATTGACTATAGGGTGCTGATTTACTTTTTGGTTGGGTGGGATACACAACACCAAGAATTTATCCAGATTTTTTAAAAAAATATTGCCCTTTCTTCTTCTGTTTTCAGTCTCTCTCTCTCCTTGACATTATTATTGGATTTATAGGAAGAGTTTTCTCAGGTAGCTTGTTCTTCTATTCTATATGGACTTCCAAACATGGGGGTAATGTGACTATCAATATCAAGGAAAATGTGTTAGCGCATACAGGAATGAATATAACACACCTACACAGTTGTAAATATTATCTAGGAAGACTTTTGGATATACAATAGTTTCTTCATATATCATTGTTATGTGTCAGTTTATATAACAGGGTCAAAGATGAAGGAAAGCTGTGTTGCAGCCTTCATCTCACAGCCAGATATCAAAAGTCTTTTGCATTGCCTTGATTATCTTACAGGGAACCAGCATATCTGTGTGTGTGTGTGCGCGCGCGTGCGCACGCACGCCAGTGATGGGTTGCTACCAGTTTGCCCTGGATCAGGCGAATCAGTAGCAGCAGTGGCAGGAGGCTCCGCCCACCCGCCTCGACGCTTCTGCCCATGCACAGAAGCATCACCCACAAATGCAAGCGAGCCCATGAGCAAACCGGTAGCGACAGGTTTTGAAACGCGCCCCTGGTGTGTGTGTGTGCACGCGCGCATGCACACATGCATGGATATGTGCATGCAATGATGTTCTTGTTGATCAGTTGTTAATAAAAAAAATGGGTTCAGATTCATACACACACAATTTGCTTCCTTCTATTTTTTATGTAATGGTTGTGTTATATATTTGCTATATCAATAAAAGATGGGTATACAAGATTGCCTTTAATGGGTAAATTATCCAAAGTATTACAGGTCCTACCTGTCATATCCCATGAGGAAGCAAAACTGCTTAGCTTTGGCATCAGATATCAAAATAGCAAAACTCAGTTACTGGGCAACCATCATTTCAAATACTCTCTTTACAGCTTGAGACAGAATAATAGCAACATTAACAAGAAAACTGTGTGGCATGCATTGCATAAAATATTACCTAATCATGCCTCTAATACAGATTTTGAAATATGGACAGATATGCCATTGTTCAGAATGCAATTTGTTTTGATTTGCTCCAACAAAATTCATACTACTTTGTGAAAAGAACATCCCACCACTTCATGTTGATCATGAGTTATACATTTCTACAAAACCTTTGGAAATAAAACATAGTTTTATAGAAACAGTCGCCTTTATGCTGTTTCCGTGTTGAAACAACTGCCTCATGTTTGCAACTCTGTTTATCCATCTGTGGACTTTCAGTATGATATCTAAATTTTCTCTAAAAGCCCTTCTTGGCAATGGATTAAACCACATGGTTAAATCCCAAAATTTTTCAGCACGGTATGTTTTTGTAAAAAAAAAAAAGAATAATCAAATAATATCAAGACAAATGTTCTAGAGCTAGTCTCAAGCTTATATTTATCCCATGATATAAAGACATAAAAATAGAATGCAAAAACAAAAAAATCTACTTTCTAAAATAATGAGGCTTGGCACAATTTACAACTGGATGGAGAAATTATATTAATTTGTTCAAATTCTGGTTAATATTATGCCCTTTTAAGATAAACTTTCAAAGTATGCTAGTATGCTAAACTGATGGAAAGAAATTGAGTTCATTCCATTGTACTGTATTTTGCAATTAACAATATTGGCTTCTAGAGATTGGTGGTAATTACGTGAAGGGAAATATAAAACAAACTAAAAAGGCTACAGGTCAAAGACCAAGAAGTTATTGATTGCTCAAGATTCAAACAAGGCATAGAGTTGGGATTCAACATAAAGCATTTGATATTGAATTGTGGGGAAGGCATATATAAGTTTGACACAAATTGTACTAGACTACCTGTTGTGCGACTGGAGTTCAATTTCGTTTTTCAGATCCTTATCAATAGGAAGGAGATAAATAGTTCAGGAGACAGTTATAGGTGTAGGGAATTGGGGGTTTGCACATTCAGTTATAAAGCTGAGTTACCCTTTCCGCCTCTCTTCAGGCTTCAAAGGTAACATCTGCCAAATTAAACATTTGGCATCTTGGAAAAAAGTACTAAAATAGAGATTTTTTTTTCCTTTTTATGTCCCAGGTGCCATTACATTATTTTTAAATTATTGAGTCTGTCATCTGCACCTCTATAACTGTCTGATTTGGTTCTGCAGCCCAACAAGACAGACACAGACTTCAGAGGATAATTAGAACTGCAAAAAAAACAATTGCTACCAACCTGCCTTCCATTGAAGACCTGTATACTGCACAAATCCAAAAGAGGGCTGTGAAAATATTTACAGACCCCTCACACCCTGGACATAAACTGTTTCAACTCCTACCCCCAAAACAACGCTATAAAGCACTGCACACCAGAACAACTAGACAGAAGGACAGTTTTTTTCCAAACGCCATTATTCTGCTAAACAAATAATTCCCTCAACACTGTCAAACTAGTTACTAAGTCTGCATTACTATTAATCTTCTCATCGTTCCCACCACCCATCTCCTTCCACTTATGACTGTATGAGTGTAACCTTATTGCTGGCATCCTTACGATTTATTTTGACTGTTTCCTAATATGATTTGATTGCTTATTTGTACCCTATGACTATCATTAAGTGTTGTACCTTATGATTCTTCATGAATGTATCTTTTCTTTTTATGTACACTGAGAGCATATGCACCGAAACAAATTCCTTGTGTGTCCAATCACACCTGGCCAATAAAGAATTCTATTCTATTCTGTTTTGCACAATGGTATCTACTCCAGACCAGCTATTGCATTAGATCTTTGAGATTTTATGAAATAGGTTGCTACAAATGTGTCATATATGACCTGATTTTTTTCAAGAGTTTGGGAGCCTCTCTTGGGCTAGAAGGAGAGAGCTGGGATGCACCATAGCATCTATATTCACCAAATTGCTGATCACTGGAATAAAGATAACTGATCACCTAGTGAAACTTTCAAGCACTATCAAATATTTCAAAGCAGAATTATTTTAGGTGGCTTTTCCATATTCTTCCAGTGGACAAATGCTACAATTCTGCAAAGAAGGAAGACACAGCCAAGCAAAGGACTACCCACTGACTTTGCTTATTGGAAGCCCTCTGGAAAGATTGCAAATGGTGATCACTTGATTCCAGTACACTACAACTATTTGCTGGTAAATATTTGCTGGTTATCAAGCACCTGAATTTTGATCATGTGACTCTATGGGCATTGTGACATTTGTAAGTATGAAGTCATAAGTCACGTTTTTTTCAGGCACCATCGTAACCTCACATAGTTCTAAAATGAATGGTTGTAAGTCGAGGCTTCCTGAAGTTTTCTTATAGAATGTGGTACATACCTCAAATTACTTTCAAAGCTTTTCTGCAAGATCCAATTCAATTGCTTGACCTTAAATGAACTCCAGTGAAAAATCTTGCAGTACTCAAGGTGAGCACTAGTACTGTACTGTATTATGTTACCAACAAAGGTGGGGGAGGGGAGAGGATGAAATGAAGTTAGGGATTATAAAATTCAAAGGAAAAGTAATCTGGCGAGAAGTAATCTGTTGATCAGAAATGTGGGGTATGAACTATCTATTTCATTTCAGTATATTGTTTCCAATAAGTTTCCTTGTAGAGAAATCAAACTGGTAATTCATTAACTTTTAGGTAAGATACCAGCTTTGTGGTTGGTAGAAAAAGCCCAAGTACCATTAAGGATACAGAATTGGCAAGGAACAGACAATCAAGGATTTATCTGAACCACATTTCATTTATCTGAACCACATTTTGAATTGCTCTACAAATCAGAGTTCTAGATCCAGCCAGTTTAAAAAGGAAAGATGGGATCTCACAGGGATTGTAGTGCTTTTGTAATTTTAATTATACCACATGTCATCTTCCAGGAAAAACAAGAAAGTCTAGCTGCCTCCTGAAATAGCACCTTTGGGACATGGATAACTAAGAATCACTACAGACTTTTAGCTATACAATTTGGGATGGACATCCTTTGAAATGTGTGGGAGTAGGGATGGATTTCCAGAGGAAAAAAATTGCAGACTACAGGAACTAGGAGCACTACTCAGATGACCCTGAGGACACAGATAAACCTCCAAATGCTTCAAAGACCCTCTAAAAGGATGCAAATTACCAGCTGTCTGCAAGGAATATAAATCCTTCCATTCCCCACTATCTGTCAGAGCTGAAGAAGCTTCTTGGATGAGAAACAAAACATCTTCAAAGAAAACAAGTCCAGTTGACTCCTGAAAAAGCACCTTGGGACACATGTCATCTTGAATCAAATTCAGTTATGAATTTAATTCATTAGGGATAAATTTAAAATACTGAGTAATAATCAAAGGAGATAAATAACTCAAAGAGAAAAGAGGTATGTGATAGAAACTTCCATAAAATAAGTATCTTAAAACATTAGTTTTCCTTAGGTTCTGCCTGCTTTCACTCAGCTTATTCGTTACACTCTTTTGCTTTTACTTCCACATTCCTGGGCTCCCATTTCAAGTCTTCTGCTGTACAGTTGAACAAATGGATAGCAGTTAAGATGGCTCAATGGGAGCACATCTGTGGAAGAGTAGATCCATTCTCAAGGCTTCTCTGGGTTGTATGATACCCACAACATAAGTTAAGCTCAGCTATAGATAATGAACTTATCCTCACTGGAAAGACAGGGAGGAGAATATTCATGATGCAGTTTTCTGGCAAGCTCTAAAAAGTAAAAGCCAACTTCTTTCAAGTTGATCTTGATTTCTAATGACCAAATGAGCATGATCATGCAGTTTTCTTTGCAGTAATACAAACGCTGTTTGCCAGTGGTTTTTTTTTTTTTTTTACACTTCCCAACCTATAGTCCTGGTATTTTCTGGTATCATCTATTTAATTTGGTCTTATCCTACTCACTTTTTGAGATCAGTCAATATTGGTTATATTGAATTGAATTAAATTGAATTGAATTGAATTGAATTGAATTGAATTGAATTGAACTGAACTGAACTGAACTGAACTGAACTGAACTGAACTGAACTTTATTTGGCCAAATGTGATTCGACATACAAGGGATTTGTCTCTGGTATAGAAGCACTCAATGTACATGCAAAGCAACAAAATAATAATCAGCATGAGATGCTGCCATCCAGGTATCCAACAGATTACTGACATCAACTCAACACTCTAAAGCCACTCATTGAACAAATTTCTGTTTCTGCTCTGAACAATACTGTATTAGCACATGCAGCAAATATTGCAGGTTCACAGTGTTGTACCTGTTCACAGCTGCTGCTTTTTTAATTGGAACCCAGGAAACAAAATTGTCAGAAAGCCTGGTTGGAAAGAGATAAACAAGGTCTCAAGAATACAAAATGATTAGTAGATTTATTGTAGAAGAGACAATGACACCATCTGAACAAATTTCCAGTGACTACTGTGTATTAGATACGAGACCCATTCATAGTGGAGTCTTTGTGCTTTCTGAGAGTGATTTTTCTTTTTCTTTTCTTTTCTTTTCTTTTTTTTTTTTTTTTTGCTTCCAGACTACTGTAGGTAACATATTCAGTGCTAGAAGGGTTTATATACAGTAGTTTGCCCTGTCAGCATTGGTGGAAGTATTGTTTTCTCTTGGTAGTTTCTTGATTAGACTGTTGTTTACTGCTTTTACTATTCCAGTATTTTAAAAGGAAAAAAAGTGGACACAGGAAACTACACACCAATCATTTTGGCATCAATATCTGGGCAAATGCTAGAAAAATAATCAAGCAATAGGCTTATGAACAGATGGAAGCTAATGGCATAATTACCAGAAGCCAGCATGGATTTGATAAAGATTGGTCATGGCAGACAAATTGAATTGTGCTCTTTGACAGTGTGACTATATTAGTGGACCAAAGGAATCTATAGATGTAGCATACTTAGACTTTAGTAAGGCCTTTGAACAAGTAGACCATGGCTTCCTTCTTGATAAACTGAATAAAGTGGAAATAATGGTCGTACACCAGATGGATTCACAGTTGGATGAACACGCATAGCCCACACATGGTCCTTAATGGGTCTACGTCTACAGTGAAGGAGGAATGCAATGAGTTCTGTCCTGGAATAAGTACTCTTCAAATCTTAATAAATGACTTAGATGAGAGAATGGAAGGGATACTCATAAAATGTATATATGATACAAAAGCTGGGGGATGGATTAGTAATACCCCAAGAAATAGACACAACATTCAACTTGATCTTGATTGACTTAAACATTGAGTCATATCCAATAAAATATTACTAAATGGTGGGAAGACTAAGATTCTGCACTTTGGCAGGAAACCTTTGGCACAAATACATGAAAAGTAATACCTGGGTTGCAAGTAGTATTTGAAAGAAGCAGTAATCTTGGTAGGCCACAGGTTAAGCATGAGTCAGCACTGTGCCACAGCTACAAAAAGAGCCAATGCAGTTCTGATTTGCATCAACAGATCATGGGAAGTGATAGCACCACTGGTCAGACCACACCTGGAATTCTGTCTCCTGTTCTGGTTGACACAATATCAAAAGGATGCTGAAGAACTGGTAAGAGAGCAGAGAAGATAGGCAAGAATGATTATGGGTTTGGAAGCTAAATCTGTCAGAATATTCATGACTGGGAAGACATGGTAACAAGGTCAGCCAATGAATAGACATAGCAACCAGATCAGCCAATGGAAACTGTTTAGAAACTGAAACTGGAAGGAGCCTGGGCATGGCTCTGCAGATTTGGATCGGTGCTGAGAACTAAAACGAAACTAGTCTCTGTCTGTGCTGCTGGAACTGAAAGCAATCTCTCCTCTCTACCACATTAGAAGAATCTGCTGTTGGTATTGTAAATTTACTTCATGTGTTATTATGTACAGTATATAATGAAGTGAATGAATCCTGTTGAATCAGTTTACCTGTGTGTGCTTTCTGGATTTGATTTTTTGCAACAAACTGAAAAAAATCTTACGAAGAGCAGTTGAAGGAACTTGTGTTTATCCTAAAGATGAGATGTCTATGGGAAGACTTGATAGCAGTTTTCTAATACATGAAAAAAAATGTCACAGAGTGAAAGGTATGGATTTAAGATAAGACAAGAACTTGGGTTGGAGACTTTACAAAGAGAAATCCAAATTTGAAATTTCCTGATTGGGGAGATATTAAGCAGTCTGTATCCTGAAATGGTGAGTGCTTCATCTCTGTAATTGCCAAGAAAATAATTGGATAATCACTTTTCTGGGATATTATGAGCATTCTAGCACTTGGATTAGATGATTTCCAAGACACCTTCCAATCCTGTGACTTTAGCCCTAGATTATTTCACAGTACAACCTTCCAAAATAGGTGACTCCAGTTTCCAACCTCTGGTTTTAATTACTCCTTCAGAATAAGCAACATTTCAGTGATTTCAAGGTAAGGATTAGAGGTAGAGACTCTATTTCCAATAATAATTGGCTGGTGGTTGCCATATGTTTCCCTAGAGTGCCTCATTATGTCCACATCCCACCTCCCCTCCATTAGCACATTTGCCTATTAAGGCAACCTCTCCCTGGGTGCAAAGGATAAGAGCACACCTCGCAAGAGATCAATCAGTTTTTATATTTTTCGCTGAAAATCTTTTGAAGTAATTTTAGTGTTCATATTCTGTTCCTGCCTATTCCATATTGTTCATGCTGACATGCAGGCATATCTCAACTAGGACCGTTATGTTGTTTTTTTACTAGCTTCTCTGTCTTGCAGATAAAGTTACATAAATTATTTGTGCTATGATTGTTTAATGTTACATATGGACTGTCTTTTAAATGCCAGAAACTACTCCAATTCTATGAAGAGTCTAATATGATATAGTAGAGCAGCCTTCTTTGATCCAGTACCTTTTAGGTACTTGGAACTTTAGTTCTTGTAAGACTTTGAACAGTTTTAGAAAAATAAACAACCATGGGGCAAATTTAGTAATTAATGCAAAACTATATTGTAAACAATATATTTGTGCATTGTGTATGTGAGAGAAACTAATTAGGAACCTGTCTATAGCGCTATAGATCCTTAAACTGATGGCATCAACCCTTAATACTTTCCCAGGACACCTTGACCTCTAAGTGAAATAGCTTGTCCCATTTATACTCTAAATGGTTATACAAATACCTTTATCAAACAAGGCCTCTATAAGCCCTAATAACTTCCCACAAAGAAAATAAGGGAAGGTAGACACAGAGCACTCTGTTGATGATGGTATAGTTAAAGAAGGTATGATAGTTTCTTTCAGTGCTGTTTTAATGATTTAACACTTTCCTAAGAAATAGCCTCAAGTTCTGAACACAGATTTTAAGAAATGTTGGTTAAGTAACTTTTGGTTACTTATCTTCTTGTCTTTCAATAGAGGGAGGCCAATGGCTCTGATTCTTTCCATTTCCTTGTACCAAGCAGCATTCAAAGGCAAGGAAGTTGGTAACATGGCTAGAGGTTACTCTCCCAAATTTCTGTGCAATTTGTCAATCAACATAGAAAATCCTCCTTTTGCAATGTTCTGGCATATGCCAGTGCATGCAGGTATACAGTGGAGCATTTTATGTGCACAGCTTTTGAACCACATTTTGCTTGATGTTGTTTGTTCTCAGAATCACATAGAATCACATCTGGATTTTAGAGATAATGTTAGGGACATCTTTTTGAGCCTGACTCAAGCAATAAAAAAACCATTTTTAAGCCCTTTCAGTCCTTAACTTGCTCAGATCAATATCCCAGCTGAAAGAAGTTTTCTCTGCTTACCCTCCTACCATCCTAGTCATCTCCTATCCCCCTCAAGGCCACTCCAACAGTCCCTCCTGCCTCCCAAACAGTTTGTCAGGGTTCCAAGTGTCACCCCCAATGAAAGAAAACTCCAAGGCTTGTGTTTCCTCAAAGTTCCATTTTATTAGAGATGTCATATTGGCACATCTGGGAAAAACCGAATCTGAAAGCTTCCAGGTTTTCCCCACCCAAAAGAAAGTTCAAGTCCCTGCCCAGTACCCACATGTCCATCACATGATCCAATAACAGCACCATCCCAACTGGAGATGCCTCCCAGTTCCAGCCATCCAGGTGCAAGGCAAGATGACCTTGACTTTCTGAGAAAGGAATGTTTTATGACTATATGTCACCCTGGCTCAATCCCCCCTCCCTGTTTCCCACAGTAGTAAATGTGGCAGGCCTGAAGGCACAACGAAAAAGACGGCTTCCAGGTCTGACACAGTCTCCATATCATTCCTTTTGTTAGCTTTCCAGGAATAATAATAACAGCATGAATGAAGACTCCCCACCCACCTAACAATGCCTTTCTTCCTCCCTTTTGTTTTCCTGATGCAATTCCTAAGCATTACTGCTCCTCTGCGACACATCAAAATACTTAGAAAAGGCTTTTTTTAAAAAAAAATTAAAAACCTCCCTCTATCTGGCTTACCATGTTGTTATTGCCCATCTCCATTTGTAGATAAACACAGGAAAGGGAAGGGTAGGGAGGACGCTGGTAATGTGGCAGAGAAAAAACGTTTACTTGTTTTCCCAAATGATTTATGAAATGATCATTTCTGTCTTTGGGATGAAATATAGATAGATAATTTCCAGGTCATTCCAAGCATGGAAAGCCTAGACAAATTTAACCCTCTCTAATAGGATACTTCAGGGCAGCTTAGCTTATCCAGGTTATAACCACACTCAGGGTCACCACAGATAGCTAAATAGGGCATATATAAATTTAATAAATGAATAAAATAAATAAATAAACCACAGCTAGATGGGAGAATGGAAGAGTTTTAGGATGGGGCCAGAAAACAACCTCAGTAAAGCCTGCCTTTACCTTTATTATGGGTAAAGTTGGCATATCCTAATATTTACGCTCCTTTCAGATATCAATACAAGTTACCTGCCAGAAGACCTTTTTAGTGGCTTGTTGAATTTGAGTTCCAGCCCTAGTTTTCAATCACAATTCCCTCAAAATATACAGCAATAACAAGGATGTTGAGGTTATGCGAGAAAAATAGGCATACACATTGTCCTGCACTGAAGTGAATAGGAATCAGTAGTTCGCTAGTTTCACTTGAAACACTAGTATTTTAAAAGAATCTATAAAAACATTTATAGGGCTGGGTATTGTTATACCCAGTATAATGTTATAATGCAACATGCTTTATTGCCTCTTTATAACATCTTTCCAAAGCTTGGAAAAAATTGTTTCAGCATCATTGAAATCCCAAACTAATTTGTCCTTTTTTAATAGTATGAACCATTTATGTACTGGGAAATATTTGCCCAGAAGAGATTTCTCATTTGCTCTATTCTAAGACAAAGTTAAATCTGCAAGTCAAAATGACATCCCAAACATATCCATGTTCATTACATAGAATATTTCAACAAAGCAGCAGATGTGGTATGTAATGCAGATTTTTTTCTTATTATTTTGTGCACAGTTACCTCAGATTTGAAGCGCCTATTCTTAATAAAAGTTTAGCCAAGGAAATAAATGCTCCAGAGAGAGACCAGTGTGGGCTATTGAACTGCTAAAATTGCTGATTACAAGCAGATTTGGTTGGTTATTTGTAGCCATTTCAGCATTTTCCAGCAACAGAACAATATAAGACTAAAATATAAAGCATAGCCCAGTGTAAGTCAGAGTCAGATGACATCTCAATCAAATTATTTAAATTAAGTAATAGCTAATTACTAAAATCAGCACTGTTAATGGCAAAGTGGCCTAGACCAGTTCAGAAGGTTGGCAAGTCAAGATATCTGCTATACTTTCCATCCTCAGGCCATATCAACTTGGCCTCACAAAGTATTCCCACATCTGTTGAGAAAGATTGCTTTCACTTGACATCCACTACTTCAATCAGACTGGAATACAAACACGGCGGAAAAACAACAAGCTCTTTCAGATTGTTGTTGTTTGATCTCACTCTTGACTTTTTAAATATTTGCTCATGAGTGCATTAGCCACAGTTGTCTGCTTTGCACTTGATCCTCTTGCTTGATGGAAACTTATCAAACCAAATCCCAATGCACATGCCACTACATATGGGTACATCTGCTGTATGTGCCCTTCAGGATTTTTTTTTTTAAATTTAAAGGCACAGTTTGCACACTCAGCGTGGCTTTCATAAAGATAAAAATTGGGCAGGCAAAGCACCAAAATTAACTGCAGTGGAAAGCCAGATGTTTCACTTCATTGGCACATCAAGGATTAACCTCCCAACTATTCCTCCCAGAAAGGAAAAATACAGTGTAAAAGGAGAGAGTAAATGAAGGGACGGAGGGAGGGAGGGAGGGAGGGAGGGAGGGAGGGAGGGAGGGAGGAAGGAAGGAAGGATTTCCAATGCTCATTGCCAGTTCCCACAAGGAAATGTAATGCAGAAACTGACAGAAAGTTGGAAGCTGCTTCTGCTCCTACTCCTATTTTGCCCACCCCTGTTGATTCTCTTTCTCTGTTTAGAAAAGGAAATATCTGTAAAACAATGGACCCAATTATCTAGTTTTAGTAGTATACTAAACTCTCATGTCTGTAACCTTTAATTGGGTGAAATAGCGCATCATAGGCAACAATTTTTGAACCAAGGTACTTCAAATGGGCAGGCTTATAGAATGTGTCCAAAATCTGGGACCCATGACTCCTGTATGTTTGAAATTTGGCAAATTTGTGATAGTTTTAATATTGCTGCGCCACCTCCCAGAGACTCAGTAGACCAATCCCAACCTAGCCCTCTAAAGGCCAAGTCCTCCTTCGGCTGCTGGAGATCAGGTAAACCAATCTT